TTTTTCCACCTGGTAGGTGACCCAAAGAAGAAAAACCCTTTTTCCCCCCCGTCACTCACTCCATCACGACTTGCCAGTCTTTCGCGATACTACAGTTCTTTACTCCTAAACTGCAACATTCCCACTGCACCTTCATAATGCAGGCATTGTACTTACCACCTCTAATGTTTGCCACTTATACCATATTTACTTATTAACCCTTTGACTGTCGAAGGGCCCAACCCTGAAGTGTCTCCTGGTGTCGAAAAATATTCGAAAAAAAAAATTATTTTTCTTATGAAAATGTTAAGATTATTTTTCCGATTGTTTTAGTCCCAAAAAAAAAAAATTTCCCATCAGTACTTCCCGAGATATAGAGGCATAAAGTTTGCAGAAAATGAGCCGCGTCTTATGGCAACAGCGGGGGACTGCCGCTCACCCGGTAAACTTTAGTTTACTTGTTTTTTGAAGGTTTGTTGTTCTTTTCATATTTTATTTTTTCACATAACTTATGTGGCCTGTGAGACCAAAGTAAGGTGCAATGTACATATTTTCACTCTTTGTATACAACACAATAAGCAAACAAACAAAAATTATCAATATATTGTTTACAAAACTTTTTTACAAAAACAAAAAATTACAAAAAATTGTTATTGTTTATTGTTCTATAATATATATACCAATATACAGTCACTGAACATACTCCTAGAAGTTCTGCAGCTTGTGGAACTCTGTGAAACATGGTGTCATACACAGTGGTGTTTTACACTTTTCACACATAAAACATGGGGGTCATACACAGTGGTGTTTTACACTTTTACACATGAAACATGGTGTCATACACAGTGGTGTTTTACACTCTTACCATAAAACATGGTGTCATACACAGTGGTTTTTTTACACTCTTACACATAAAACATGGTGTCATACACAGTGGTGTTTTACACTCTTACACATAAAACATGGTGTCATACACAGGGGGTGTTTTACACTCCACACATAAAACATTGTGTCATACACAGTGGTGTTTTACACTCTCACACATAAAATCAGTGTGGGGCATTTTTGTTTAATTTTTTTTTATGTGCAAGACAAAACACCTCGTCTGAGCAGTTTTCTTCAAAGTATTGCAGGCAGTTGTGTTATGTAGTTATCCTAGGTAAATGGTCGTGTGTCATCATTCCTTCCTAATTTCCTTCATTCCTTTCTACCTGGAGGCTACTGGAGGGCATTCCACCTCTCTTCCTACATTCCTTCATCTGTCCTTCATTACTTTTTTCCTTCCTTTCATCTACCCTTCCTTCATTCCTGCCTTCCCTTCTTGTTTCTGGTTTCTATAATATATATACACATATATAGTCACTAATACTTTCATAAAACTCCTATTATCACCCTTCAGCAAGCTTGTCTGTTGTGCGAGTGTGTGGCTTATAATTGTTTTGAGCAGGAGTCGGCAGCTGTCAAAATGACATATTGTCTCATTAGTCACTCCCCTACCGCCTGTCAAAACAATGGGGTTGGATGCTGCTTCCCCCTCCATTCAAATCTAATTATCTTTCTCCCTCATTCTATCTCTTCAATCTGTCTTTCTCTCTCTTGTCTATCTCTCTGTCTATCTCTGTCTCACAGGTACACATAAATAAAAACTATACATAGTGAAAAATTACCTAGGATAACCCAAAAAAAATCCAGACAAAGTGCTATACTCTGCTTGAAGATGTGAGTAAACGTGATGATGACACAGTCTTGTGGCTCTGAGACAGAGCTAGACAGATAGACAGGAGTTTGGCAGACAGACAAATAAAAGACAGACAAATGTTTGTTCGTCGTCGTCATCTCCTCCTCCTCCTCCTTCTCCTTCTCCTTCTTCTCCTCCTTCTCCTCCTTCTCCTCCTCCTCCTTCTTCTCCTTCTCCCCCTCCTCCCCCTCCCCCCTCCTCCTCCTCCTCCCCCTTTCCCTCCTCCCCCTCCTGGCTCTTGAAGATGGACAGCTGCCCCCCTCCTCCACCCTCGTTTACGCTATCAAAGGTCAGCTCTTATCAGATGTTATCTCCCCTTATCTTGTCACTGTCATGGGTGAACTGTTTTCATGCCTAAAGGGAACATATTATTACATATTATTATTATTAGGTATTGGGTATTATTTCTTCTTCTTCTTCTTCCTTCTTCTTCTTCTTCTTCTTCTTCTTCTTCTTCTTCTTCTTCTTTTCTTCTTTTTTTCTTCTTCTTCTTCTTCTTCTTCTTCTTCCTTCTTCTTCCCCCCTTCCCCTCCTCCTTTCCACCTTCCTCCCCCCTCCCTCCTCCTCCCTCCCTCCTTCCTCCTCCTCCCTCCTTCTTCCTCCCTCCCTCCCTTCCTCCTCCCCCTCCCACCTCCTCCCCCCTTCCCCCTCCCTTCTTCCTCCCTCCTTCTTCCTCCTCCCTCCTACCTCCTCCCTCCTACCTCCTCCCCCCTCCTTCTCCCCCTCCCTCCTTCCTCCTCCCCCCTCCTTCCCTTTCCCTCTTCTTCCTTCCTCCTCTTCTTCCTCCTCCTCTTCTTCCTCCTCCTCTTTTCCTCCTCCTCTTCTTCCTTCTCCTCTTCCTCCTCCTCCACCTCCTCCATTGCTTTTGGTCTCAAACTCCTCGAAATCATGAAATTATCTTCATTGACACTTCCATCTGTGTTAAGAGCATCATTTGGAAGAGAAGAGTCCCAGATTTGCAGGGAAGTCACATATTTCTTAACCGCTAAAACATGCTGAAAAAGGATGACTGAAATGGTATTCCACAATGCACCACTGGCTCCCCATTTTTTTTTATGGTGCACACTGACCATGGAGACCCATTCTCTCACATGTGGGCCTACCAGCTTTCTCCTGCTTGATTTGAAGCCGCTAGAATTTATGCGTATAGATATGTCAAACACGGTATCTCCTATGACGTACATATACAACCGCGACAGTCAAAGGGTAACACATCTACCATCTCCCACCAAGGCAGGGTGGCCTGAAAAGGAAAACTTTTATCATCATTCACTCCATCACTGTCTTGCCAGAGGCATGCTTACTCTACCATTATAAAACTGCAACATTAACACTCCTCATTTTCACCCCATCATTGTATTTTTTTAACCTCATTAGAGAACATACAGAGAAGAATGACTAAAATGATTTACTGTGTAAGGAACCTCCCGTATGAAGATCGACTTAAAGCCTTAAATCTCCACTCTCTGGAGAGGCGTAGAATGAGGGGAGATATCATTGAAGTGTATAAGTGGATGACGGGCATAAACAAGGGAGATATTATTAAAGTACTGAGGGTGTCAAACCAGGTAAGAACCAGAAATAATGGATTTAAGTTAGATAAATTTAGATTTAGAAAGGACATAGGTAAGTACTGGTTTTCTAACAGAGTTGTAGATGCGTGGAACAGTCTTCCCAGTTGGGTGATAGAGGCTAAGACCTTGAGTAGCTTTAAGAAGAGACTGGACAAATATATGAGTGGGAGGGGCTGGGTATGTTTGGGTGTCTTTGGGTATGGGATTAAATTTCTTGGGTAACTTTGGGTTTAGAGGTCGTTTTGATAAGGGACCTGCCTCGCATGGGCCTGTAGGCCTTCTGCAGTGTTCCTCCATTCTTATGTTCTTATTTGTTACAGGGACACACAGAGGAGCTGTGGGCCCTAGCTCCACACCCTGGCCATCACCAGTTTTTGACTGCTGGATATGATCGTATTTGCTACTTGTGGGACACTATGGCACATACTATTGTCTGGAGCAAGGACATTGGTGTAAGTGAACTGATGAATTTTAAGTGTGATATGTTGTTATTGTGTAGTCTCTTCTTAAATGTACAGTGGACCCCCGCCTTACGATCAGCTCCCAACTCGAACAATTATGTAAGTGTATTTTTGTAAGTGCTTTTGTACGTGTATTTTTGGGGGTCTGAAACGGACTAATCTAATTTACAATATTCCTTAAGGGAACAAATTTGTTCGGTAACGGCACCCGAACAGACTTCTGGAATGAATTAATATCGTAAGTCGGGGGTCCACTGTATATTGATTTCTTTCTTAGTCAGACTACAGTAATTCATATTTGGGTGTATTTAGAATATAGAAAGTTTTGAATAATATAAGTAAACGAAAATCGTTATTGTGAAGAAATCAGTAGGGCAAATTAACTTCTTAACCCGATAACTATCCAAACGTAGATCTATGTTTTCACTACAATTGCTCCAAATTTTTTGAAAAAAAAAAAAAATTAATTAAAGAGGGCAATTTTCTGTGTGTGATAAGACCAAAAAAAAAATATTTAGGGTCAGTACTTACCGAGGTATAAGTCCATGAAGTTGGCACTGGATGCTTGCCTGATAGCAACTTTGGAGTCCTGAGCTTGCAGAAATGGTTGCCGAAAATACCCTTTTTTTTGTTTTTTTTAAATTTTATAATTTTCATGTTTGATAATTACAATTTGCAGTAGTTCTTGTGATTTCATAGACAATGTTCAGACACTAATATTAGCTACTGAAATAGTACTCAAATAGTCACAAAACACTGACAGGTGAACATTTTCACCTGCTTTGGTCACATACTATTGTCTAGAAATATATACCAAAGTATTTATAGGTCCCAGCAATGTTTTAGACATGCCGGAATATATATGAAACTCCTTAAAGCAGGTATAAGATGAGTGTCACTTCATTGTGACAGTGCAGCAGTTTGGAGTGACATTTGATGATCGTGCACTGCCTTAGCTTTATTTGTTTTCACTGTTACACACAAATGTCTTCTATCTGTTTGTCTTGCCTATCTGTGTCTGTTTTAGCTCTGTCTCTGTGTCTGCTTGTCTCTTTGTCTTAGAGGAGAGCCGCTCATGAAACCAGCAGGTATTACAAATGATGCAGAGTTGTCACGTCTGATTCTTGAACAAGTGAAAATGCGTATTACTTGCCAGTCATGCTTATTATGCCTATATCACAAGCACAGTATAGCACTTTGTTTGGATTTTTTTTGGGGGTATCCTAGGTAATTTACACTATGTATAACTGTATTTATGTGTACCTGTGAGACAGAGATAGAAACCGATAGAGACAGATACACAGAGATAGATAGAGATACAGATGGAGATAGAGACAGAGACAGAGATAGATACAGGCAGACAGATGGAGATAGAGACAGGGCCCAAAATCAATAAACCTCCCACCACCCACCCACTCACCCCCCCACTGGCCAGCCAGCCTACTGAACATGTATTACATATGTTCCAAAATTGTTTCTCTTTTCTTCGGCATAGGGTATAGGACATTCTGGCAAGGATGACACTACCACTGGTATCAAAATTGAAAGGATGTTGCATAAATGTTGCACATGGGTAATTATCGAGATTTCTTTATATTTCCTCGACCACTTGTGGCCACATCCCTCACAAAGCCACTAAATTCAGGGTCAACATCACTTTCCCCTTAAAAGGGGAGTGTTTTAAAATGACATGACATCAGTGAATCCTTGGCGTTTGCCATGCTGTTTGCTCCAGCTGGTGTTCAATTGAACTGGTGCTCCCACAAGATACTAAGGTCCTAGATTCTTTAATACTACACACACGAGTGTTCAGACCCATTCTATACTTACCAGGCATCTCAGGCCATTTGTGTTAAATTTGGAGGCAGGAAAAATAAAATGTTTATCTACATTTGGAGCGCTAGCAGTAATAACGTAGATCTATGTTTGGACAGTTAAGGGGTGAGGAATATTTTATTTTTATTTAAAAAATCTACATTAAAGAGGTTTTCCTAATTTAAATAATAAATTTTTGCCTTAATTCTCAAAACAAAAAGTTCTGAATACTGTATAGCACAGTACTCCTTTCGAAATTCAAATTTTTAAAGTCGTGAATTAGAGATTTTTTGAATTCTTATTGGATGTTGTCCTGTTATTTGGAGACCATTCTCATTTATAATTTTTCTTAAGTTGGGGTAATTTTGAACACTATACAAGAATTATAAATTAGCAACAAAATACTATTGAACCCCGGCATTACAATACAAAATTGTGCACTGACATATTTTTAATTATAATGTATTTTTATGTAGAAAAAGAAGAAAGGAAAATTCTTTCTCAGGTGTAGCATTCTGTTTTACGTTTATCTTCACAATTTTAATACTAGTGAAGATGTAAAGTGTCATTGTAATAATCTTTTGTTGCATAGAAACTGTTCTGAGCTTGTCCCCGTTTTCATCATTATTTTTTTTTTATTATCACACTGGCGCATTCCCACCAAGGCAGGGTGGCCCGAAAAAAAAAAACTTTTACCACCATTCACTCCATCACTGTCTTGCCAGAAGGGTGTTTTACACTACAGGGTTTTTAAACTGCAACATTAACACCCCTCCTTCAGAGTGCAGGCACTGTACTTCCCATCTCCAGGACTCAAGTCCGGCCCCGCCGGTTTCCCTGAACCCCCTTTATAATGTTACTTTGCTCACACCCAACAGCCGTCAAGTATTAAAAACCATTTGTCTCCATTCACTGCTATCAAACATGCTCATTTCATGCCTGCTGGAAGTCCAAGCCCCTCACACACAAAACCTCTTAACCCCCCCCCCCAAAACCCCTTCCCAGGCCGACCCCTACCCCGCCTTCCTTCCACTACAGACTGATACACTCTTGAAGTCATTCTGTTTCGCTCCATTCTCTCTACATGTCCCCAACCACCTCAACAACCCTTCCTCAGCCCTCTGGACAAAAAGTTTGGTAATCCACACCCTCCTCCTAACTTCCAAACTGAATTCTCTGCATTATATTCACACCACACATTGCCCTCAGACATGACATCTCACTGCCTCCAGCCTTCTCCTCGCTGCAACATTCATCACCCACGCTTCACAACCCTATAAGAGCGTTGGTAAAACTATACTCTCATACATTCCCCTCTTTGCCTCCAAGGACAAAGTTCTTTGTCTCCACAGACTCCTAAGTGCACCACTCACCCTTTTCCCCTCATCAATTCTATGATTCACCTCATCTTTCATAGACCCATCCGCTTGACAGTCCACTCCCAATATCTGAATTCATTCACCTCCTCCAACTCTCTCCCCCTAACTGATATCCAATCTTTTTATCACCTAATCTTTTTTTATCCTCATAAACCCTTTCTCTTTCCTGTATTCACTTTTAATTTTCTTCTTTGCATACCCTACCAAATTCCATCCACCAATCTCTGCAACTTCTCTTCAGAATCTCCAAGAGCACATGTGTCATTAGCAAAGAGCAAATGTGACAACTCCCACTTTGTGTGATTCTTCATCTTTTAACTCCACGCCTCTTGCCAAGACCCCACATTTACTTCTCTTACAACCCCATCTATAAATATATTAAACAACCACGGTGACATCACACATCCTTGTCTGAGGCCTACTTTTACTGGGAAATAATTTCCCTCTTCCTACATACTCTAACTTTAGCCTCACTATCCTCGTAAAAACTCTTCACTGCTTTCAGTAACCTACCTCTACAGCATACACCTGCAACATCTGCCACCATTGCCCCCCTATCCACCCTGTCATATGCCTTTTCCAAACCCATAAATGCCACAAAGACCTCTTTAGCCTTATCTAAATACTGTTTAATTATATGTTTCACTGTAAACACCCGGTCCACACACCCCCTACTTTCCTAAGCCTCCTTGTTCATTTTGCTATCCTATTCTCCGTCTTACTCTTAATTCTTTCAATAATAACTCTACCCTACACTTTACCAGGTATACTCAACAGACTTATCCCCCTATTAATTTTTGCACTCTCTTTTTCCCTTTGCCTTTATCAAAGGAACTATGCATGCTTTCTGCCAATCCTAGTACCTTACCCTCTTCCATACATTTATTAAATAAAATTTCACCAACCACTCCAAAACTATATCCCCACCTGCTTTTAACATTTCTAGCTTTAATTCCATCAATCCCGGCTGCCTTACCCCCTTTCATTTTACCTACTGCCTCACGAACTTCCCCCACACTCAAAAATGGCTCTTCCTCACTCCTACAAGATGTTATTCCTCCTTGCCCTATACACGAAATCACAGCTTCCCTATCTTCATCAACATTTAACAATTCCTCAAAATATTCCCTCCATCTTCCCAATACCTCTAACTCTCCATTTAATAACTCTCCTCTCCTATTTTTAACTGACAAATCGATTTGTTCTCTAGGCTTCCTTAACTTGTTAATCTCACTCCAAAACTTTTTCTTATTTTCAACAAAATTTGTTGATAACATCTCACCCACTCTCTCATTTGCTCTCTTTTTACATATCTTCACCACTCTCTTAACACCTCTCTTTTTCTCCATATACTCTTCCCTCCTTGCATCACTTTTACTTTGTAAAAACTTATCATATGCTAACGTTTTCTCCCTTACATCATTCCACCAATCGCTCCTCTTCCCTCCCACACCCACTTTCCTGTAACCACAAACTTCTGCTGAACACTTTAACACTACATTTTTAAACCTACCCCATACCTCTTCGACCCCATTGCCTATGCTCTCATTAGCCCATCTATCCTCCAATAGCTGTTTGTATCTTACCCTAACTGCCTCCACTTTTAGTTTATAAACCTTCACCCGTCTCTTCCCTGATGCTTCTGTTCTCCTAGTATCCCATCTACCTTTTATTATTATATTATTATTATTATTATTATTATTATTATTATTATTATTATTATTATTATTATTATTATTATTATTATTATTATTATATTGGGGCAGCTCTAAATCCATAAGAGCCATACAGTGCCTT